CCGCCCCCCGCACCACACACCCTGACCACCTGGCTTTCCCTTCCCCCGACTCTCCCTCGGCTTCATCGTCACCGACCCCCCCTCGCCCCTCGTGTTCAGGCCTGTGTACCTGGTCCTGGACTTCCCGTGTGGGATCTGTGTTGTGTGAGTGAATGTGTGTAGGAGTGAGTGTGTGCGTACATGTGTGTGAGCACATTGTGCGTGAGCATGAGTGTGTGTTCTTAGAGGTGAGTGTGCGTGCATGTGTGAGTGTAATTGTGTGTATGAGCATGTGTGCATGAGTGGTGTGTGTGTACATATGTGTGAGCATGTGTCTGAGCATGAATGTGTATATGCATATGTGTGAGTATGTAAGTGTGTGTGCCTGTGTGTGTTCAGGTGTGTATAGGGGTGTGTGTGAAAATGTGTGAGTACATTATGTGTGAGCGTGTGTGTGCATGTAGGTGTAAGTGTGCATGTGTGTGAGTGTGCATGCATGTGTGCATGAGTGGTGTAGATGTGAGTGTGCATATGTATAATTATACATGCGCGGTGTGTGAACGCATACGTGTGCATCTATTTGGGAGTGCGCATGTGCGTGCCTGAGTATGTGCATGCATGTAGGGGTGAGTGTTCGTGTGTGTGCGTGTGTGTGTGTGCGCTGAGTGCATAAGGTATGAGTGTGTGTGTCTGTGTGAGTGCTGTGCGTGTGTGCTCGTGTGTCTGTGCATGTGGGGGGGTGCGTGTGTGTGTGTGCATGTGTGTGTGTGCTGAGTGCATAAAGTATGAGTGTGCGTGTGTGCTCACATGTGTGTGCATGTGTGTATGGTGTGCGTGTGTGAGTGCATGTGTGTGTGTGCTGAGTGCATAAAGTATGAGTGTGCGTGTGTGCTCACATGTGTGTGCATGTGTGTATGGTGTGCGTGTGTGAGTGCTATGTGTGTGTGCCTGTGTGTGCTGCAGAGGCAGCAAAGGGGACGGTCCCTGGGAGCTGGGGGTGGAAACTGCCAGGCCGACCTCAGCTCTGCCTCCCCTCGTGCCCACAGCCTGTGGATATGGGTCCAGCCGCATGGGCTCCTGTCCGGAGCGTCCCTTCCTGCCCTTGGCCCGGCTGCGGGCAGCCGGCTGGCGTGGGCAGGCCCATCTGCTGTGGGCTGTAGGTAGGTCATGGACTTCTGAGTGGTGCGGGCTTTGCACAGGGTAAGAGTGGGTGCTCCTGAGGGGCAGAAAGGAGCCCAGACGCCTCCACCCTGGGCTTGCTCCCTGTGTTCTCCCTGGAGGGCAGCAAAGGTGGAGAGGCCGGGGCTGACCGGGGAGGGGCGCGTGAGGTAAGCTGCCCCGCGCGGGGTAGAGAGGATAGTGCCGGCCGACTCGGGCTCTCGCCCGGGATTCATCCATCTGTCCATCCAGCTGCACAGCTCCTGGCCTCCTACACCCACCGCATTTGCAGCCAGTCACGGGCATTTCCAAGGGCGCCCGACAGACTTGGGTCAGGAGGCCATGACCACATCCCCAGCTCGGTCCCCTGAGAGCAGTGAGCTCTCGAGATGCCACCTTGCTTCACTGAGCCCATCCCTTCAACATTCACAAATCAAACAGAAACAAAACAACACTCACGTAAACACACGTGGGCAGGGCAGAGGCTGGCAATCTGTGGGTATGAATAAAGGTCGTGTCCCTGCCCCGTCTGTTTATCCATCCCGCCTGCCTGCCCCGTCTGTTATTCACCCTTCAAGCCACTGCCTGGCCCTCCACCCACGCTGGTCAGCTCAGTTCTTTGCAGGCTGGGTCTGGGATGCGGGGTGCGGCTTGATGTTGCTCAGCCCCGCGTCCTGCGGAGGCAGACAGACAGCAGGTCTCCACCTGTGCCACTGCCCCCTTGTCACTGCAGGAAGACCCANAGGCAGACAGACAGCAGGTCTCCACCTGTGCCACTGCCCCCTTGTCACTGCAGGAAGACGGGACTCCTCGTCTTGGCATTGTAGGCCCTCCAAGATCCATTTCAGTGCCCCCCCTCGGCCTCAGCAAACGCCCCCACCCCCTGCCATTCCATAAGCACATCTCAGGTGGCGACCTGCTGCTCCCCCAGCCCGAGGGCTCGGATGAGATCCGGGTCCCTCTTCTGCAAAGGATTCCAGTGACTCCTTCTGGCTGAGCCCCTTCCCCAGCAGATACCCCACTCCAGCCATGGCTGTCCACCCACCAGACCTGTCCCTTCTTCTTCCTGCCATCAGTGTCCAAGACAGGGCTGGCCAGCCTAGGGGTCACAGAGTGCTGGCTGAATGGACAGATGGACAGAGGACACATGGCAAATGGAATGAGCAGCCCAGTTTCAGAAAAAGCACTTGAGGGGGAGGCGGGGTTGGTGCGGGACACTCCCGGGACAAGGCAGCATTTCCAAGGGGCCTTGAAGGATGGATGAGGGGACAGGTGTTCCCGATGAAGAAAACATACACTAGGGTGAGGCAATGTGGGGGAACAGCAAGGCCCCCACCTCTGTGGGGAGCAGAAGAAGATGGTCATGGAAAGTCAGGCTGAAGGCGCGCAGTGAAGGGTTGGGACAACCTGCGGGGGTTTGCATTTTGTCCCATGGAGAACACAGAAGGGAAGGGAAAGGTGTGATCAGAGCTGTGAGGTCTGCAGCCAGTGTGGAGGAAGGGATGGGAGAAGCCCAGAGTCAGAGAGGAGTTAGGGGCCTGGGCAGTGGTCCAGGCAAGAGAGCCTGTGGCTTCACCTAGTGCAGGGATGGTGACAGGGGAGGAGGAACAGCGGTAATGAGGTTNAGTGGTCCAGGCAAGAGAGCCTGTGGCTTCACCTAGTGCAGGGATGGTGACAGGGGAGGAGCAGTGGTAATGAGGACGTGGCGGCAGCTCAGTTTGGGCCCAGGAAGCTCTGAGACTTCCCGGCGATGGAAGTCAAAGAACAGATTAGGAGGGAGGATACTTTGTCTATTTTTGTGTATACGTATTTGCCCATTCCTTCCTTTCAGAACATCAACACCATCCATCCACCATCTAGCATCCATAATTCATCATTTATCATCCATCGGTCCTCCACCACCTATTTATTCATCCACCATCCACCCTCCGTAATCCATCATCCATCCTCCATGTCATCTATCATTCATTCATCCATCTATCTGTCATCCCTCATCCGTCCATCTGTCCATCTACCACCCATCCATCCCTCCATCCACCCACCCTCNCATAATCCATCATTTATCATCCATCGGTCCTCCACCACCTATTTATTCATCCACCATCCACCCTCTGTAATCCATCATCATCCATCCTCCATGTCATCTATCATTCATTCATCCATCTATCCGTCATCCTTCATCCGTCCATAATCCATCCATCTGTCCATCTACCACCCATCCATCCCTCCATCCACCCACCCTCCATCCATAATTCACCATCCATAATCCACCCATCCTCCACCATCCATTCATCATTCATACACCTATCCATTCATCCACCCATCATTCATCCATCTATCCATCTGTCCATCCATCCACGCACCCACCCATCCATCCATCTATGCATCCATCCATTTATCCATGTTTTTACATGTTCATTAAGCTTTCTCCTCCGTTCCCCACTCTCCCCATTCCATCCCTACCTATCTTAAATATAAATTCACTTAACTATTCATCTGACCTCACTTTCTCAGTAACTTGCCCCATTTTGCTTACCGACTCCATCCCATCATCCAACCCAACATGTCAATGCCTCCATTCCTCCTTCAGGCCGTGCACCATCCCTTCTCCCCACTGCTCTTCTAGCTGGGCCTCACTTATCCACGTGTGCCCCACCCATGCACCCCCCTGCTGCTNTCCTTCAGGCCATGCACCATCCCTTCTCCCCACTGCTCTTCTAGCTGGGCCTCACTTATCCACGTGTGCCCCACCCATGCACCCCCGCCTCTCACTGGTCTTTTTCGATGCCTCTCATTTCTCCTTCCCATTGTTCCTGCTCCAACGACTCATCCACCCAATGACCCACCAGCTCTCTCTTCACCCACTCATCTGTCTTCCACACCCCAGCGTACATGGTGGCTCTGGCTTACAACACGGGTTTGAGTCCTGGAGCCTTGAGTAAGAAACCACATCCATCCGTGTTGAGTTTCCCCCCTTGTGGAAACAGGGACGGACCTACCTCAAAGCGTCGTCGAGAGGATTAACCGAGGTGACATCAAGTGATGCTCTTAACGCCGTTCCATCCNTGACCCACCAGCTCTCTCTTCACCCACTCATCTGTCTTCCACACCCCAGCATACATGGTGGCTCTGGCTTACAACACGGGTTTGAGTCCTGGGGCCTTGAGTTAGAAACCACATCCATCCGTGTTGAGTTTCCCCCCTTGTGGAAACAGGGACAGACCTACCTCAAAGCGTCGTCGAGAGGATTTACCAAGGTGATACCAAGTGATGCTCTTAACGCTGTTCCATCTCATAGTTGTTTCTTTTATTATAATTTTTACTATTATTTCATGCGCCCATTCTCCTGCCCCATGTGTGGTTTTACCTAGTCATTCGTTCATTCATTCATTCATCGATCCACGAATCCGTCAGCTTCCTTCAAACACCCACCCCTTTCCTAGTCCCTGCCTCTCTAATGCCATCTCCCCACCTTCTGTTTCCTCTCCCCTCCCCTCCTTCCCTTACTCATGTTAACTATGTGTCAATTTATTAATCCATTTGTTGATGAAAATATATTTANATTTATTAATCCATTTATTGATGAAAATATATTTACCTACCCTCTCTTCTCAAGTGTTCATGCTTCATCCCATTTCCCCAACTGTCTACTTTATACTTCTCGTAGCCCGTTTCCTCCCCAGGAGCATCCATGTTTTCCTGTTATTGCATCACTTTTACTTACCGACAGGCACCACTAACTAGTCCATCCACCGTCTTTGCCCGCCTCGTTTACCCACACACGGACCGTGGGCTTGTCCTGTCTCCTCTTCTCTCCTGTCTCTCCTCACTCACCTCCATCCATCAGTGTCCCCCAACTGTCTGCCCACCTTCTTCCTTCAACCCAGCCCCCTGCCTTTGTCCGTTTGTCCCCCCGCTGATCCACAAATACATACTCTTCCTGCTGCTCCAGGTCTCCATCCTGTCTCCCCTCCCTCCTCCAGCCTTTGCTTTCTGCTCGCAGCTCAGACCTGCACTCCCTTGGTCTGTGTGAAAGGAGAGGGTTCTGGGGGGGCTGTCCTCAGATCCCCCTGCCTCTCAGGTTCACCTCTGTCCACTGCTGCCCAGGACTTCCAGAGAGTAACCCTCTCCCTCACCGCAGTAGCCCCTTCCCAGAGCCCTGGGGACTGCTGCTCGCCCTGTGTGTGGTGTCCATCCTCGGGGAACCCCAGTTAATTTCAAATTAGCTGGGACCCATCAATCAAGGGCACACATCATCCAATCGTGGCCTCTCTCTGAGACCAGCTTCCTCTCTAGTTAGAGGTAACTGACACGTGTAACAGTAACAGGCGCAGGTGTAGGGTATACAATGTAGCGAGATGATTTCCCTGAGGGTTTAGTTAACTCACCGTCAAATGATGTGATTATCTTTTTTTNGGGTATACAATGTAGCGAGATGATTTCCCTGAGGGTTTAGTTAACTCACCATCAAATGATGTGATTATCTTTTTGNAGGGTATACAATGTAGCGAGATGATTTCCCTGAGGGTTTAGTTAACTCACCGTCAAATGATGTGATTATCTTTTTTTTTGTTGTTTTGGTGGTAAGAACACTTAAGATCTATTTTTGTAGCCACTTTCAAGTACAGAGCAGTATTATTAACCAGGTGTTTTATTTTAAATCAGACTAAAAAGATACAAAGAATCCCGTATGCCTTTAACCCAGATGCCCCGATGGTAACATTTTACCATATTCGCCTTTTCCGTTTCCCCGTCTGTAAACGCACAGTATTTATTTTATAGACCGTCTGAGGGTACATCTGGGAGCAGTGCCCTCGCCCCTGACACTGCAGCATGTTGCCCGCGGCAGGGACACCGTCCTGCGGGACCCCAGCTGGCCGGCAGGAATGGGGAGCTGACGGCTCTGCTCTCCGCCCTCCCGCCTGGCCGGGTCCGCTCCTCGCTCACTCCTCCTTTGTGGCTGCAGGTCCGGGACAAGAAGCTGCTCAACGACCTGAACGGAGCCGTGGAAGATGCCAAGACCGCCAGGCTCTTCAACATCACCAGCTCCGCCCTGGCCGCCTCCTGCATCATCCTGGTCTTCATCTTCCTGCGGTACCCACTCACCGACTACTGAGGCCCCGCCGCGCAGACGGGGGGCTGGGAAGGGCTCATTTTCCTGACTGATGGGACGCGGATGCCGCAGTCCGGGCAGAGCGGGGCGGCCGCCCTGGGCCCCTGAGGCCGTGACCCGGGCAGCAAGGCCGGCAGCAGCTCTGCACAGCAAGGGGGCAGGCAGCCAGCTACGTGCAGCCACCCCTCCGCCTCCTGGTCCTCCGCCTGCTTCTGGGATCCCGGGTTCTCCCTGGGCTGCCGCCCCCTGGCTTCCAGTGGCTGCACCCCCGCCCTCCTGCGCCCTCACCCAGGCTCCTGGGCCCCTCCCACCTGACACCCAGCAAGAAGGGCTTCTGTGGGAGCTTCCCCAGTATGGGGGCTGCCGGCATCTGGGGACTCCCTCTACCCTCCCTGACCCAGCCTCCTCCAAGCTGAGACCCTGCTCAGAGCTCCTGTACCTGTGAATTTTCAATAAAATTCCTGCCCAGCACTGATGGGCTCAGCCTCCTGTCCCCTGCATGGCTGGGGG